GCACCCTCATGTCCCAGGCCTGATGCCGCCACCTGGAGCCCAGGCCTGACCACCCCCACCGTGATCCCTGCCAGCCCACGGCTGATCCTCTTTGGCCTGAATTTCTGCAGTCCTGGGTGCACGTGTAAATACTGCACCTGGGAACAGTTTTCTCCAGCTCAAACTGTGCCTGTGTTTGTCTCTCCGTCTTAATTGCACATGTAGATGAATGCACTGGGTACCTCCTCTTTGCTTCCCTTTCATCTTGCTCCTCTCCCTACCCCCACAACTTCTTGCCTCTTTCATTTCCTTTAATGTTATTTGCCTAAAGTAATCCTAAGGATTAAAATGCCTGGACTCAATTATTTGTTAAATATTTGCAGCTGTACCATTCACATCTGTTCAGCAATGCAATTCAAGTGATAACACTTAACCCAGTTTAGAGCAGGCTCTATATAGATATAGATATTTATCCTGCGTGCAAGTAAAATGGGAAAGCATTATTTAAAATTTCATACCTGCTTGTAACTTGAGCTTGTCAGACAGCTGTGCTCTAAATACAGTTGTGGAATATAAAAAACACTTAGTCTTTTGGTTCCAGAGACTGTTTCAGCATTTTCAACTACTGGAAGGGTGGAAGGCGGGGGTGGGGAGGGGGAAAAAAAAGCCATGTGATAGGGACAGAATTAGCTTAATATTGCTCATTAGTCCAGAAGTATCACCACTACTTCATTTTCTATTGTTTTAAATAACCAGTTCAAAGGCTAAGTAGAATTTATCCTCTAAATAGCTTTGAGCCATACATGCTTGGGAGAGATGAGATCTTATTCATACATATGTCTACTTATAGGTGAGGAATTTGAAACTGGAGCATGAGCAGGAGAAAAACAAGATCTTGTCAGAAGCACTAGAGACACTAGCCACCGAACACCATGAATTAGAACAGTCTCTAGTTAAAGGATCTCCACCGCTGAGCATCCTTAGTGAGGATCAATTCTATGATGCTGTTTCAGGTAAGCAAAATATATCAGAACTTGAGCACACAGCAAATATATATGCTTTTAGTTGGGTCCCTGCCAGCCTTAAAATTTTAGGGCCCAATTCAGAAAGACAGTCACATGCTTTAACTTCAACAAGCCTTCTCATGCTTAAGGTTAAGCATGTGTACAAAAATCTTTCTGGATCTGGACCTGTGCTCAGTTTGTCTGCCAGGAGCAAAGTTTGCAAAACTTTGGGTCTTGAAAAATGTAATCTGCCCCTTCCCCTCAACTTTTTTTCCTATAAAGTAAAATGTAGCATGCTAATCAAGAAGTAAAGCTAAGGAAATGTTACAGCTGACATATTTTTTTTTAGTTTTGCAAAACTGCTTTCTTTTTGATTAACTACTACCTAGAACCACAGGCAATGGGGGTGAATGAGTGTTAGGAAGTGTCAGTTTTTCTTCTTTCCCTGTATGTCAATACAATGATTAATAAACATTTTATTCAAAAACATGCAACTATGAAGTCAGGCAAAGGTTCTCTTGCACTGAGCAACACAAAATATTTTTTTCTTTTTGGATTGGGGTGCAGGGCAGTATAACTTCAAAGAAGTGCGTTCCTAGGAAAAGGCTGGATCAGGAAGGTGAAATGTCCAGATTCTTATCTGAATGCGGTTAGAGTTTGAGCGTTGTCCGGTCTCTCCAGGCAGTAAGTTCACTGGCTAGGATCCTGTTGCTGCAAGGCACTGGCACAGACCTCTGACCATCAAGGGCATATTTGTGACTGTGGTAGCATGTTATGTATGCAGTGGTGTGGATTTTTTTTTTGTATTGCCACACCTTTTATTCTTTGGATAAAGAACTTCAAACTGCCCTGGAGACCCTGTTATAATAGAAAGGAGATTTTTTTTTACTATAGAAGATCCATGTTGGCCAGTCAAGGAATATCCTAAAGACTTAGAGGTAGGTCCTAATTTCCTGTCTGTGGCTTAAAGAAAAACTTGTCCCTGGCCTGTGGTGCTAGGAGAAGTGAACAGTGGAAGAAAACAGTTTTAAAATACTGAAGCATGGTTACTGTAGCCTCTGTGCTATCCAGACTTCATGCCATTGGAAAAGGGTTAGCTGTAGCAGGAGTTGAAGAGGATTCCTAAGTGAAATGACCCAAACTCTAAGTTCTAAAATTCTTTTCAGAAAACTGTACTTTAATCATACTGTTCCTAGAATCTTTAGACTCATGGAAACAAGTCATTTCAAATGATTGCATGGTGCTGTTTTTCTCCAGAAATGGTATCGTAGGGATCCATATTCTCTAACTTCCATATCCAGTTTGTTTTAAATAAAAAAAAACCCAAAGCCAATGTCTGTTTAAACCTTGACTTTCAAAAATAGTTGTGGCCATGGCACTGGCAACTCTTTCTGGCTTGTGAATAGTCCATAAAGATTTTTTGCAATTGCAGTGTAGTTATTTGTGAAGCACGTGAGACAGGAAATCTAACTCATTGGTCTTCCGTATTGCATTTTTTTAAACAACCCTTTCACTAGCACCAGGAGACTCTTCACATCTGATCATCCTTACTGTTTACATGGCCATTTTTCAGAAGAGAACTGCATTTAGAATTGAAGTTCCATTGCTACCACTGATGTGGTGGCAGCACTTTTTTTAAAGAGGGAGGCAGCCAAGTCTCACTTCTGGTTTTTATACCTCAAAAGGAAGAGAGAGGACAAGAGGTCACAGAAGGAAGAAAAGCTATTCTGTGGCTTGAACTCTAAGC